TATTTGTGAGTTTTTAAATCTTTTAAATGCATTTGTGGATGGTGTTTTACATTTGCAAATCACATATTTACACACAAAAAATGTTTATGTTCACAAAAATTATTTTGAGAAATATCTATGCCCATAAAGCAGCGATGCAGAACAGCAGAGTAGCGAGTGAGAGCTGTCATCTTCCCTTTACAAGCTTCAAAAATGTATTTATCGTGTGATTTTGGAAATAAAAGTTTCATATTCTGAAAGCCAAGACTTTGTTTATATAAAATCAAACAAAACACCTGAACCCCGAAAAACATTTTTTTNCAAGAAATGCGCAGGAAATTACGTTTTTAGACACATTTCTTGGGGAGAAATGGCTGAGCTGATCCTTGTGGGAAAGGCAGCAAACAGGGTCTTCAAATTGGCCGCCAGAGATTCATGGGAAAAATTCAAACACTACTATTGGTTCCTTATGGTCCTGCCTTGTTTTTAAAGTATTGCATCATAATTTGAGATGTATTGTGCATGCAAAAGGCAAAAAATGGGTATGTTGCCTGGAGGCAACATCATACCATAGAGGGTTAAATTAAGATTACTCCTTATTTATTAACTATGTGCGGTCTTCATCTAAAAGCCCAAATAAAATATTAAAGGGTGTAAATGTAAATTCAATAGTGAGTGTCTTCAGCCAATTTTGAATCTTAGACCACAGACTTGCAACATATGGACAATAAAAAAGAAATGCAATCTGGTCTTCCTCTTCCTCATCACAGAATCTACATAATGGGGATGGTTCAATATTAAAGATGTTGAGTTGTTTTTTGTAGCGGTAATCTTGTAAAAATCTTCAGTTGGAAGATTTGATGTTTTGTATGGTTCTAAAAAAAAAATCCAGGGTATTAAAATATTTAAATCTTCTTCCAAGAAAGAGCAGACCTTACGAAGCGCCCGGTGTGGAGGTGTGTGGCGCAATGGGTTGTGCGGTGGTGTTCGAATCAGGGGGTCACAGGTTCAAACCCCACTGCAGTCAGCATGTCGTTGTGTCCCTGGGCAAGACACTTCACCCCAAATTGCTCCTGTTGGGATTGTCCACTGTATTGAGTATGTAAATCGCTTTGGATAAAAGCGTCTAACAAGTCACATGTAATGTAATGTAAGTGTTCTCATTAACATGTATTAAATGATTTCTATTAGTCTGTTCTCTTCAGTTCATAACTTTTCTCTGTGTTTGGTTTAAGGTTCTTTATTTAGTCATCCGAACATAGCTACAGTGTAGCTACAAGCTTCTCCAACAGTGTAACACAAAACACAGATAAACAGAAAAATATAGTGCAAGTCAATAGTAAATACAAAAAAAAAATGCTTTAACAAAGAGTAATAGTGCAATAAGTGTTTATATTAGTGTTGTCACGATACCAACATTTTGGTTTTGATAACGATACCAAGTCAAGAATTGCGATTCCGATTATTTTTCTATACTTTTCTTAAAAAAAGGGAAACAGTCTTAAATGTAATTATTGTGCTTTATTTCACACCAGAACCATAACCATAACACAAACTTTTAAACAATGAGAACAATAAATAAAATAAATGACAAGAATTCGTATTAAATACAATTAATACATTTCTTACAGACAGGCCTCGTGGTGTCCGTAGGCTTTACCTCACTGTCAGAGATATAGCTAAAATACATCTACAATAGTTAGAATACCTGATAGATCTTCAGCATTGATGGATACAGCCGATGAATCATTGGGGCGCCAGACTGCAGGAGTACGTTGAAGCCGTCAAAGTTTGGCAGGATGGCATGTAGAAAGTACATGTACAGCTGTGCTGTTGGACTCTTGAATACTTTCAGAAGCCTCTGTTCACGAGCACCACCCTTCTTCAACCTAAATGAAAGGTAATAGGTGGCTAAAATATTAATACAAAAATAAGGTATATGTTGGTTGATGAAGAACATTAAAAAAAAAATGTTTTCACAACATATAAAGTAAACATGCATTGTCTATATTTCGTAATGAGATATATTTCACTTTTCCCAAAATGTAGAGTATAAGTAAATAATTACTCTATAATACTTAATTAAATTAATAAATTAGCTACCTAAATCATCTAAGATATCGAAGATTAGTTATTATTCTTTTCAGAATGTAGCCTATTTATTTATGATAGCATTAACACTATGCCTAAACATTTTCACTAAATATTTGTATATGGTTCTCAAAATAAATACCAATGCTGAGCTTACCTCTGTCTCTTCGACGGAGGCTCCATTCATCTTCATCAGCATCGAAGGTTGACAAGATGTAGGACATCAAGCCTTCCCAGAGATTGAGCGTCCTCTCAATGCACTTGTGTAGGCTGAGCCATCTTGTGGAAACGTGCTTCAGGATCTTCCTCACGACCACATCGTTGAAGACGAGAAACTCCCTCAGTTGATGCTTCCTCTTGGCACTAAGAAACAGAAATG